GGTAGCTAAAAAGTTCTACATCCCCAACCAAATTAGAGCTAAAAAAATTCCTTAAAAAGAAGAGAAAAACAAAACGGTAAATCAAATAAGAGTCCGAAAACTTGTTGGGTCCTCTCTAATCTTTTCCACCTTAGAGCTCGTCCTGTAGTTTTAAAATCATATTCACCGAGTTAGTCAATTCATTAGATTTGTTTTGGGGTTTAGAGGCTGAAAAAACAAGTCTAGACACTTACATGGGCGGCGGCACCATCCTTGTCTGAGGTTTCCTTGCTTTCCTCAGCCTTTGATTCATTGTCGGAGTCATCTCCTTCATTGTTGTCTTCATCCTCTGCTTCATCCTCAGCCTGTACAAATTTTTTCTTATCAGAAACAGAGGTGGTTATATCAAGCGGAAAAGAGTCAGTGTGGGAGACTCTTACGTCTGAATCAGCAGCAGGAGCGTCCTTTGATTCCTGGTAAAACATACAACAAGCAAGTTGATTACTCTTCCTCATGTTACCACAATTAGAAAATATGGATGTTTTGGGTGGAGCAAGTTACCTCTTCCTCTCTCTTCTTCTCAGCTTCGTCGAATGCTGCTTTCTCCGCCTGTACCACCAGATTGAATTAGCTATCATCATTACCCACATAAATCAAACACACAGAAAGACCAAGTATTAACATACATCCTTGAGCTTTCCCCAGGTTTCCTCGGCCAACTTCTTTGCGTACTCTGGGTCATCACAGATCAAGACATTGTCAAACAAGGATCCCGATTTCACCTACAACAAATATGGCATGTGTTTAGTCGCAGATCATGACAGACAAAAGTGTTTCTGTGACAAGATATTATTCTTACCTGCCACAACTCCACTCCCACATACTTCAATTTGGGGAAGACATAGAGTTCAGGGTCATCCTTGAAGTCTGCGTTAAGACAATTTTCTCAAGACTTATGGAAAACTATCTTCTTTGTGCAAGTAAAAAAAATCTTACACTGATAACCGCTGTACTACATTTATAACTAACATGATCTCAGAATGTATCCTCAGATGAATACAAAATATGGATTCCTAAATGTGTCATATGCTGGTGTGATTGTACTTTTTCATATAAAATACAATTTCAGAGCCATGAAACTAAATCTACATTTTATTACAAGAATACTATGGGACTGTTGAATATAAATGGTCGCAGAGAGAATCTTACCAGGGTTGTCAATCATTGGAGCCTTCCATTTGCCCTTGTAGTTAGGGTTCTTGATTTTCTACAGAGCAATATGACAACCGTGAGAAGAAAGTAAATAATTTGACCATATTCAATACTCTCTGTTTGGCAGCAAAATCCAACAAACCTTGGGCTTCCATTCACCATTGTACTCAGGGTTAGGAATGGTAGGGGCAGTCCACTCACCATCTTCTTCTTCATCCCAGTCCTCAGGCTGTAAAACAAAGGATCCAAATCAAAACCAGCAAGTGCTTTACATTGGTCTAACATCAATGCCAGAAAAGGTTCAAACCTTTGTCGCATCAGTGTCTGGGATCTCCTTTGGGATGTCATCGTATCCCTCTGGCTTTTTGTCTTCGGGATCATCAATGTATTCTTTGTCGTCCCAGTCCTCAGGCTGCATAACAGAGACTCGGTTTTATGAGAACTGGCTCAATTCTTGGTTTTGGCTAAAGGTGAAGGTGGTAAGGGGAGAGAAAAGATAGAGCTGCTAGATACTAGTTACCTTCTTGGCGCTTGGATCCTTGATCTTCTTTGCTGGGAGAAGATCCCAGTCAGAGTATAGGCTACCAGTTTGCTTCTCAACGTTGTCAATCAGAATACTGTAAGTAGCATCTGGGCGGAGGACAAATGTGTACACATGGGTGAGCTGGTCAGTTTCACATGGGACCTCCTTCTTGATCAGATGGTTCGTTCCATTGTAGGTAAGGATAGCATGCACTTTCTTAGTGCTGTAGCCACAGATATCGGGGCCAAACATGATGCTGCGGGTAAAAGAAGACAAGCACTATGTTTAAACGTCTGATGTTGAGATAGAGTAAAAGAAAGTGTTATATGGATCAGAAAAACGCACCTGTAAGGAGTGTCTCCACCGAATTTCTTCTGGTCAACATCACCACTGAGCAGCTTCATGTAGCCACCACCACAGTCAAGCTTCTGCTCGTGCTTGACAGAGAACTGGAAGACGAGGGTCTTGTCCTTGTTGCTGAACTCAGGGTATTCAGCTGATATGGCATAGAATCTGTAATCCTCGCTAGTCTGGATACCTGCAAGAGAGTGATCATTGCAACAAAGCATAAGGATACGAATAGGTCGAGAGCCAAGTAATCATCACTAGTCCTGAAGCCATACCTTTGTCGTTAGCGTCACCAGACCAATTGCCAGACGTGTGGTTCCATTCCCCAGCAGTGTTCTCATCCTTCTTCCAGTCGGATTTTACCCATCTGTTCTCCCATCCATCTTAAGAAACAGAGACAACAAAGAATCAAAAGAGTTATCAGACAAGAGAATGAAAACCATAAAGTTCGAGTGAACGTAACATCAGTCTACTTCCTAAGATAAAAGTTCTCACAAGTACGACTGCATATGATACGATTCAAGGACTTGATCATAAAACACAATTTCAATCTAAGCAATAAATTAACAAGACCTGTTCATCATAGACCATACATAAACCATCATACTTGTTTCAACATTTACTATCATCGAAATCCGTTTTCCCGTGACTTCCCAAACGCCGCCGCAACAAAGAGTTTTAATCACCACAAACGCCTATTCTCGATCACCGATCAGAATTTCGAAATCAAAGAATCTAAAGTAAAACCAGAATCAACAAATTCATAGATCTATCAACAATCCTCACCAACCAATTCGGAAAAATGTTCTATCGATCTGAAACGATGATCATCGAATCATAAAAGCATTCACTGACTCTTAAGAATTCAGGGATCAACAAGTTACGGAATCGATTTAGATGCAGCGATCGCAAACGGAATCATAAAAGCATTCACTGACACTTAAGAATCTAGATAGAATTCGAGAGAGAAATGTAGCTACCATCGAATCGTTCCTCAAATATAACTTCAGCAGTGGCGATCGCGACGAGACCGAGAAGAATCAGAGAGATGAAGTTAGGGTTTAGTTTCGCCATTGCTAAAAACTCAGATCGGAGCTTCCCAGTAATCAGAAGAAGCCGTAGAAGAGATGGGAATATATATCCGAGAGAAGTGGTCGATGACGTGGCTTAATGACCGTGCGAACTTCCATCCACGTTGACCAATGAGTGACATACACGTCAGAACTACTTGTCATGGAAATGACGTGGCAGAATATTACTGGATAAAACTACCAATTTTTGACTCGAATAAGGGCATGAATTTACACGTGGGAGAATGTAAGTGGACGGTGCATCTCTTGTGATAGGTAAATACTGTCAGATCTCAAGGGCGTTTTCATTAAGAGTGTACACCGTTGGTTCTGGTTGATGCCATCGTAGCCGTCGGATTCGAACTAATTTTATCTACAAAATCCGGGTTTGTGTAAGTACTTTTTGCATTTCCATTTCTGATTGATACTATTACTACTAATTGTTAAGCAAATCCATAATTAAATATAAAATCATTTCATTGTATTATTAATTGGTAAAGYAAAAAAATAACTAAGAGATCCATAACTTCCGTTAAATAAGATCAATAATTTTCATAAATATATTATACTAATATTTTTTAAGGGGAAAAACCAAAAACAAGATACGATTT